TAGCATATTGATCAGCAAGAACATCCGATCGGCCACCTTCTCCGGAGCATCTGGCCAAAAATACAGGATACGACGGTGCAGCAGGGGAGGGACAGGCTGGCCAGGGGAACGTGATCTCAACAAGGACGACATCTTTTTCTGCACATCATCACAATCTGGGTCCGCCAGTCGGGGGGCAATCGCAGACAACTGGGTGAAATTCACAATCCAGGTCATGGTAACCGAGCCGTTCAACCAATTCTTCATTCGTGTCACAGCCAAGACATCGCAATCATATTCAGAGATACTGTGAAATCTGGCAGCTATACTAGGGAAAACGGAACTTCTCAAAGCGGCACGGAACAACGCGGCCCTATTTTCACATGAAATGTCTCGAGGTACCGAATCGAATCCCAAAGAGCCCAGGTTCTTTAGTAATGCCGTCGATATCGAATGCCGCGGAGCAGCAGTCAGTCGCTGAAGGGCAACGTGTTCAGTGTCATACACTCTGGTGTCGGCCATGTAGAACTGGCAGATATGGGACAAGACAGGGTGCGCCAGCATGTTGTACGCGCGAATATTCTGCGCCAGGGATAATTTCAGCTCTCTGATATGGGCTACTCGTTCCAGGAGCTTACGACAGGGGGCACGCCATGATTCATCACAACCCTCTGGGCCAAGAAATACGCCCAAGTACTTAGCGTGGGGGCCAATCCGTACCGCGTCCACGGGGATGTCAAGGTCGCGCAACCGCTGCTTGGCCATCTCAATGTCCATGTCGAGCGCGATGACCACCCAACATTTCCCCGTGTGGAGCTTCAGGCCTGTGACGATGCCAGTGTCGCCCATCCAGGTCAGAACCATAGGTATAGTAAGGCGAAGGTTTCCCGTCGCAATGCCGATGTCGTCAGCACACGCAAGAGGGAGCCCAGGGTGCGGGCGGAGTCGCCGTTGTAGGCCTCGAACGACTGGATCGAAGATTATCACGAATATCAAAGCTGAGAGTGGGCATCCTTGCTTCATTCCTCGGGTGACAGTGAAGCCAGAGAATCTTGAGCCAGCGAACAAAATGTCAACATATATGTCGTCGTACAATGATCTGACCGCACGAACGATGCGCCTGGGAACGCCCATGGCTTCCAAGACCCCGAAGATCCAGGAGTGCAACACACTCGGGAACGCAGCGGCGATGTCCAGGAGCATGAACCCTGGGAACTCGAGGCCCCGATGGCAGGCCCACTCCAGAACCCAGGACTCCAACTCAATCACGTTATCAAGCATATTACGTTTCTTGATGAACCCGCGCTGGCACTCCGCCACGGAGAACCTGGCCTGGATCTGGAACGGGTCGGCCAGGGCAGCGGAGACGAGCTTGTTGTCTGTGTTGCTCAGAGTGAGGGTCCTAGTCTGACGGGCCTCGAGAACAGTCCTAGGACCAGAATCGCTCACTTCAACCTTGGGAGGGAACACGAGCTGACCGAAGTTGAATCCAGAAGGTGGGCGGGCTCCACGAAGTAGAGCACGATAGGCCGCATACAGGGCCGACAAAACGGTTTCTCCCCCGTTTTTCCACCCGCTATATGGCACCCCGTCAGGTCCTGCAGCAGAGTCTTTACGGTGAACAACGATAGAGCGAAACTCATGTTCCATGAGTTCCCATTGGATACCAGGAGAGACCGATTGAATCTCACTCCGAAGGGCAGCAAGCACCGCAGGATCAGGCTCAGGGAGAACACCAGGACACCGATGAACTTCACCCCAAAAGTTAGCTAGGTTGCGGGCACTCTGTTCGATACTGGCGGGGGCCTCGTCCACTGGGTCAGCCACCGAGAAAATCGCAAGCTTCCGACGTTTTACCGACCACGACCGACATATAGCTTGGAGCCTGGCACGACGAGCCTCATCGATTCTCCCAAGAGAGTCCGTACACTCAGTGTGGATCATATCATTAATCATCGTAGAGTTCAGCTCCCGAATATATTCATGAAACCCGAGATAATCAGTATACCCAAGATTCTCGAAGCAATAAAACCGACTAAGTTCAGGCAGAGCGTGTTGGCAGCGCATGATCATAGCGTGGTGACCAGTACGGGCAGCGCGCAGAAGCCTGAGACATACCGCTATTTTTTCTCGACCTGTACGGGGACCTGCACGAAACATCCGACGAGTCAGCTCATCCTTCGCAGCGAACATGGCGGCCTTGCACTCCAGCAAGGCCTCAAACGGGTCAGAACTGACCCCACACTCCTGCAGGATCGTTTCCACAGTCTCCCCGAAGCCAGGATGTTCGGTAATCCACCGCGGCAAGGTAGGAGTAGAGGGGGCCCCAGGAGACGTCTGCACGAAAATCGGGATGTGGTCCGAGCACTCAGAACGATTGTGGGCCATACCGATCACATTCGAACGAGGTTTCCAATCCAGGATTTCAGCCGTGGGAGCAGACCAGTAGACTCGATCCAATCTACAGACACTGAGGACAATATCTCCTGCAACAGCCCTATGAGTGGCCTCTAGCTGCGGAACTTCCACGAAGTCGCCGAACAGGCTGGCAAAACGGGAGCGCAGAAGGTCATCCTCCCGCGGCAAGGAAACTGACCCGTCCGTGGCCTGTCGGAACTCGTCGGCTTCAGGGAAATTCCAATCCCCTGCCAAACACGAGAGCCCAGCACCCAAAGCTGGAAGAGATCGGCGAAGCCGTCCTAGAACACTATGGACTGCACGAACAGAAATACCAGGATCAATATGAACGTTTGCTATATTCAGGTTCCCGAACTCCCCGAAGAGCTTCACCACCAGAATCCTGCCTCTAGCGACCTCTGAGACCCGAGCAGCTCTGAAATTCTTCAGGAAGGCCTTCGAGATGGAAGTAATGACACCGCCAGCAGAATGAGAACTACAGAAGGAGCCTAAGTGGATATGAGAACGGAAATCGCGTCGGAGAGCATTCAGGTCTTGGGGCGTCCCATGAGTCTCCTGCGTGTTTACTATATCAAACCTCTCAATCAAAGATCGGAACTTGCTATACTTCTGACTCTGACGCCTATGATTGGCCCAAATACTACCTAACAGAGCTTGCGTATTCCACGAGACCACCCCGAACGAATTCAGAACTCTAAAAATGGCGAGCGATCAGAACGAATTAAGGGGGCTCCAAAAATGGGATACACAGCCTCCAGCCGATCGGGGCCCACAGAGGAAGAGGAGGAGGAGGAGGAGGAGGAGGAGGGGGAAGACGGCGGCAGAGGCGGCACACAGCGCCTGCGCTTCACTGCACGACACCCACTAGCTGCACCCGCAGCTCGTCGCCCAGTAACGTAGATGCTGGTGGTGTTCCCACGGTTGCCCCGGTTGCCCGGCGCGTCGCTCATGACTACGTCCTAGCGCCGCTTGGCCACTAGCGCAGACACACGCTCCGCTAGGCTGTCGATGAACTCCTTCGAGAGGCCGACGACGTGGCAGTCTTCCAGCGGCACAATGATGAACGTGCCCTGGGCATCCTCCGAGATCTTCACCAGGTCCCACACCTCCTCGTTAGCCGAATTGTAAAGGTGCAAGTGTCCAGTGAACGGGTTCGACCCTAACTTCATCGACTCGAGCCAGAGGCACTGCTCCTTCAGGGCGTCGAGCATGATCTGCCAGCACTGCCCCAGCGCAAACGAGCGGTGCCGAATCGGCTGAGGCTGATCCCATCCCACACGAAGCTGCACCACCTCGGCGCTGCGCGGGTCCGTCCAGGTCAAGAAAGAGGGGTCCGCTCGACATCTGGTGTGGAAGAGCAGAGCGTCATCCTCCTCATCGAACTGAATATTGTAACTGAACTTATAGTTCTGGGCCTGAACTCGGCACTTCTCAGAGTACTGCGCGGGCATCTTGGACTTGACAATGGCAAAGTGCGACTTGAACGTCGTCTGCATCAGTTTGCGAGGGAAGCCGCGGATCCAGATCTTCTTCTTGTTGCGCTCACCGTGGTCGTGACCAGTAGGGGGGGCAGCGAGTGGCTGAGCAGGAGCAGCTCCGCGGCGCCGCGCGTAGTCGGACCACGGGTCGCTGTTCACCGAGGGCGAGCTGGAGGCCACCGTGGAAGCGAGCTTCTCCTCCAGCTGCAGCACCCGCGCGGTGAGCTCCGCATCCACGACAGGGGAAGCCGAAACAGGAGGCCGGCCGCGATGGGCAGAGTCTGACATCAGCTCATCCTCGCTATCGATAGTGATGGCCTGGCCAAGCTGTAAGGCCGAGATGGCAGCCGCCTGCCGCTCCAGCTCCGCACGTTGCTCCGCCATGGCTTGCTGCTGTTCGTCCAGACGCTTATTTAGTTCTTGATCCAGGCGTTTGACTGTCTCCATGTTGCTAGTGATCGCGTTCGACAGGATGTTGATCTGCTCGTTGATGGGATCAACGTGGGACTTCAACTGACCCGCAAGCAACTCCTTCATACTCTCGAGAGTAAGAGCCATCGCGCCGATGAAAACAGAACGACTTGGTAGGTACTGTACCTGACTGCAGAGGCAAAATGCGTGCTCAGTGTGAACAAAGCAGGGGACCTTGTCCGTGGGCACTCTCCAGGACCCCAAGCGCGCGGCGGGCGCTGGCCACTCGAGGCGGGGGGTAGAGTTCCCGAAATGGCCACTTGAGCCAAAATGGCTTGAGCCAAAATGGCTACGGAGGAGGAGGAGGAGGAGGAGGAGGAGGAGGACAAGCACGAACCCAAGATGTATCAGCGATGCACGTCGGTTTGCTCTCCCGGCTCAAGTCCCCTCTGCTGTACGAGTCGCTGCAAGCGTTCCAGCTTCGCT